AGATATTTGAAGTTCTAGTTATGATTAGTAAGGTCCATCAGTTACGGTTGTGAGCATAAATACTCACCGATGAGATTGGTTGGCGGTTGAGCCTTCGATCACAAATTGGCAGAAGTTAGAATTCATCGGCCGTTGGATCACTCCCGATGAGGTTGAATGGCCAACCAACCACCCCGGCTTGTAACTTGAAGGACCGTGGTGATGGGGTCCTAAGTGCATACTGCTGAAGTGTCCTAAAAGAGGACGCGACAGTTGCCCAGCACTCCACCTGTTTTTCAGTGGTTATTCAAATGATGGCAGTTAGTGATCAAACGACATACATACATATATATACATATATCTTTTGAAACTAGTTCTACCTTGTTATAATGATCAATAATAGTATATATGTAAAGCCCGAAACACAATCGATTTCTTTATTGATTTTATTGACCCCTTTATCTAGTTCTTTTATACGCAGATCCATAAAAGTATGGTCATTCTTAGTACTCGATAAAAAAACAAATGTCACAAGAGATTAATTTATTAGGAATTTCAACATGGACATATTTTATCAGTAAAATAATCAACTACAAGTGTGCGTATGTAACATCAGGACCCTTCGCGGAATCGGACAACGGGCCTCACTAGCTAAAACTCTAGCATCTGCAGTTATGGATGTATGTTGCGTTTTGGTAATATGCATACAAGCCCCCCCCCCAACTGTCCGAGATGATGAATCTACTGTCAGGACATTATTCGGCTACTTCATGTGAAATTTCTGCCGTAGGAATAATGTCGAGCACTAGGATGAAAAACTCGCTACTTGAATGAATACTTGTGGACAGTTGTACATGTGCTGTCCAATTGAACGAATCTATGAGAGGCAAAGATTGGCGACACTCATAGATGTCTTTTCATATAATCTCTGCTTACTTTCTCCAAATGACTGCTGTTGGGACGAAGTAAAAGGTGTATTCTATCAGAAGCCGTCTAGTTTGCTGCAAAAAGCTTAGATATAGTTATCTTAGCAGGTGATTTCAATGCCCAAGTAGGGAAGCTTTGCCAGTCAGAAAAGTATATTGATGATGACGGGCCAACAACGATGCTCATATTCTATGCTTCTATTTAGATGAATACGTGTTTCTCGTTAGCACTAACTGCAAGCATAAGGACAGGACTTGCTTAAACTAGAGACCTCCATCATCAAATCAACAATGGACTCAAATAGATTCCATGGCTGTAAGATATAGATGTAGAGGGGTTGATAGAAGACACCCGCTCCTTCTGGTATACCTGTGTAAGCTTAGGCCTCACACTAGTCACTGCACTTGTATGCCTAAAAAATCAATAAACATAGAAAGCGGGCAACTACGAAGCCGCTACACATCCAACATGGCAATGATATAGAGTTGTTATTTAGGGAAGAAACAGTTACAAGCAAGACTCATCCTGAGGCCGGTCGGTCGGTTTTCGACATAGAACTTTGCACATATGTGCGCCAGTTCAAGTCGCCACACTCCCTCCTTGTAGCACACAAAGAAAGAGAAGAAAGTAGAAGAAATGCATAATATAGTCAGTAAACAGAGGTGTGAGACAAAGGAATAGTAATAAAAAAGAACAAAACAGTTTTATCGGAAGTCATAAGTCACAAGGAGTGGATGCATCTGCGCCACTGAGGACGATTTTGAGCCATGTCACCAATTGTTTCCAACCATTGGTTTTTACTGTCCCGAGGACCCCAACCAGGAAGTCTACATCTTCCTACGTGGCTTAGACTAACTGTTGTGGATTTCATTGACTGGTGCCATGTTTTCGTTTGACCGCCGCTAGCTCTTTTCCAACCTGGCCCTATATCAGCAAATATTTCCCGTCGAGGAAGGGCAATATCCTGAGGCGGCCAGGCATGATATTTAGTCTGCTGTAGAAAGTTACAAAGGATGTTGACAATTTCAAACCAAATTTTAGTAAATGCCAGTGAATTTCTCTTGTTTCAATAGAATTCACAATTGCAAGGAGACTGATTCTGGAGAAAGCTACCCAAAAGCCAGTCAACTAAAAGTCTCCGTAATGACTGAGAACAGTGATGGGTAGAAAAGCAAAGACACGAGGAAGACATTGGCGGTAGGTAACACCAGACAACTGTTTAAACTCATTAAGGGGACGAATTTTAGTGACCTAGTGGTAACCGAAACAATTTTCGAAAGAGGGGTGCTTTCATTACCTCTCAGGATAGATAACTGGAATGTAAGAGGGAATATTTTGAGGAGTTATTCAACTTGCCTAGCCACGCTAAATTTCCCCAGCACCTAACACCTAGTTGAATGGGATGTAGATTATCGTCTTCCAACCCTAATTGCGGTTACAAACTTTCTCTAATGCAAAAGGAGGCGAAGCAGCGGGACCTGATGAAATAAGCCTAGAGGTGCTTGAAGACGGCGGTGACGAACTGTTGTCTGGGTTGACTAAGGTATTAGGTAATGTTTAGAAATCAGAGACAGTTCTGTTAGACTGGTGTAAACTACTGACTATAATTTATAAAAAGGAAGAGAAGCCCTCCTGTGATAGTCATCGGGGTATAAGCTTGACTAATAATAGTTTCTAAAGTTCTGAAGGCGGCATTTGACTCCCGACCTACAGGTACTATGTATGCGTTTGACCATGAAAGGAGCACATAGTAACCCACACTAATGAAGGCACAAAGCCGTTTAGTAGCTTACGCTATTGACACTTATAGTGATGACAACCTGTAGTGTTCGTCAGGGATCCCCAATTTTCCAATTTTTGTCTAATTTCATCATAGATTTACTAATAGACGTGACTCCAATAGACTTTAGCGGCTTAGGGATTAAATTGTTACCAGGGCAAAGTTTCATCGACTAAGAGTATGCAGATGGCATAGTCCTTCTAGATGAAGATGCTGACAAAATTTGGCCTTCTGAATACTTTAAGAGGAAATCTCGGTATGGTATGCACGTCACTGGCTCCTTTTAAATGTAAGGTGATGCTGCAGGACTGGTCTACATCGACTCCTGGATGACCACTTATCCGTGGAGTTGCATCATCTCAAATGGCCTGATTATTAGCGAAACCTTAACACGGATAGAACTACCAACTTATGTCATCTCTGGAGCAAACGTAATGTCCGACTATCTACGAAAGGACGTGTGTACTGTGCACCAGTTTGCTCTGTCCTTCTTTATGGCTGACTATTAGACGTGGGTGACCTGAAGAAGCTAGCAGTTTTTGAGCATGGATATTTACGCTCTACCTCCCATGTTATGTGATATATGGCGAGTAATATTGAGGTTATATACAGAGTTTTAGGTAAGAAGGGCGGGTCGATCGATGGGTGTGAAGTTACATTGACTGAGATGCCTCGAACACGTGTCAGGTACGATGAGTCACCAAATTTCTCTTCGAGAAATGATAGCTGACTTAGGATTAGGTTGGGAAAATTAGGGGTTGGTATAAATCCATGTACTCTTCAACTGTAGCGACTTGAACCGCACACTAGAAACAATCAGTCAGTCAGCTTCGAACCTGGAGCTTTTTAGTAAATCTTCACAGGAAAGTCCGAACAGATATGAAAATGATTTCAAAGGTGTATATATACTTCTTTAAATTCAATTAGTTGCACTCTCTAATGTCATTATCTCATGAAATGTACCACTTGTGTTTATTGTTTTTGACTCAGTCAATGAGGCATAAAATAACTAATACTATCTTTGGATGATTTTCAAATACATGAGATAAAATGCACGACAATATCATGTTGTACAACAAGTCACGTTAAGACGATGCACTTATCGCAAGAAATTGAGGGGAAAAAAACTAGAACAGTTAAATGTCTTCAATGAACCAAAAACTCTTGACTGACTAATGTAACGTGCACCAGCTCAAGTTAGCAAACTTGTACAAAACAAAGGGTAAAGAGACTGCAATAGACAAACATAAGTGTGGCAAACTACAATAGATTAGTTAAGGTTAGTAATGATGTTGAGAATTTTATACATTAAATACAGCCACAACAGCCACCAGTTCCCCTGAACTGTGTAAATTGTAAGTTGTGAATATGATTTAAGGTGTTAGCAGTTAGCCCAAGTAGCTGGCCAGAAATTGGGTGGTCTCAACTGGTTTGACTCTCTGAACTCAGTCAAACTGGGTACACTGTTGATGAGTCCGGACCCAGACGAGCGAAACAACTGTCATGTGTTTACATCACTTCTGTCTGGTTGGTTAGCAAGTATTGCTGGTTGTTGTGAGTGATATACAACTACTCGTCCCAGACAATCAGCAGAATGTAGTTCTAATTATTAGAATACACCAGTCAGACGAATTTCCTATCATAGACCGGACTGGAAGTCAAGAAGACTCTAAAAGTAGTTAACTGCCTTTTCCCATTCCCGTTAATTCCATAGACATTGTCTAAGTATCATCAGTAAGTCATATCAACTGTAGCATAGTTGGAAATCAATTAGCACGTAGACGGAAGTAACACGGACGATTTCTGCTGAAGAAATGATGAAATAAGTTTTAACTTGACAAGAAATATGTGAAAAATAGTATTTCGCCAAATGGAAGTTAAATGCATAGACAATATACAAGAGATAAGGTATGAACAGATTTCAAATCGGACAAAACTGGTAAAAAAAATGGTGAATAATAAGCATGGCCGGTCAACAGTAAGAAGAAGAGTAGGCGAGTTTCGGTCACATGACATAATTTTTTACCATTTTCACCACTATTTAATCAATATTTTACCATTAACGAACCGATACTTTCCATTATTTAAAAACTACTTATCCATCTTAACCATTATTGAGGCGATATTTTATACTATTCACCATTATTTAGCCAGGATTTACTTAATGTATTACTATCTGTCCAAAATTGTAACTATTTTAACCATTCTTTGCCCAATAATTTGTTGTAATAGAGCTATGAAACAAAGAACTTAAGACAGGTTTAAACATGTCAAATGCACTAAATAAATACATTTTTTAAAACTTTAACTGTACCTTTGGTGATAGGACTTTGATCAATTCATTTAAGAACTTGAATTTCCCAAGTTCGGAAATAAACGTTGGACTACACCGTTTAGACAGAGATTCCAACAACTGAAACTAATAAAAATATACGGATTCTTACCGCCAATGAACTTAGGGCTTCTCTTTCATGCGGAGACTTAATCTTATGAGCAAGGAGACGTAGAGTAAAAACTGGACCATTCGGTTGAGTATCTATTAACTTAGCAATTTCATTCACTGTATCAGAATTATATTGATCAGAAACAGGATTAGTAGCTTTGCCTATACATCGGAGTGGTTATAACAGGAATATCGTAACTAACTCAGGAGTTTTTCGAGCTCATTCATCTTTTATTTTCTCATTCGCACGAAGCGTACTTCTTCAAAGAGAGCGCCTGAAATATTGTCTTCATAGGTCCAACATCCAAATGACAAATTCGATTTCTTTTCAGATAGTAAGGATAGGCTAATGTTGTCTACGTCAATCTTTGCAGTACATATCTCTAGTTTCTCTTTGAAAGCGTTCAATGACGGAGCTGTTACTACAAAGTCAAGTTACGAGTTCCAGTCGTTGACCACTCTGTGGGAGAATCTATATTCCACAACTATTTTACTCGTCCTCGGTTTGAGCACCTTCTTGTGGTGACCTCATTAACATATCCCGAAGGGAGACAAGAGATTAGATAAGTCAACTCCTAAATCACACTTTAATATACGGTATGCCAGATTAATTCGCCTCTCCTCCTTCGGCGTGACAACGGGAAGAGATTTAGATGCTCCGTCCTCTTATCGTAAGGGATGTGTGAGATACCATTAACTAATTTGGTGCCTACCTTCTGCGCTCTTTCCAAGACTTGTGCCCCCTTGAAGAGTGGACTCACTGCCTGCATGCAGCATTCTCGATGAGGCCTTGTAGTGACCCGTTTTATTACTCATCATAGTACTATACTTTCATTGTGTAATTGTACTTTGATTTGCTTATTACTCTAAATCTGGCATGTTAACAATTGATACTTTTGCACTCGCTCGATTTTTGAATTGTTGATTGCTGCAATAATACACTATCGTATTCCTTCGCAAGTGCCTTTTGAATTACGTTGCGGATGTCGAGTAATCGCAACGTTAGGTCACAATTATAAACGCGAAGAAATACTAAGATATACGTGTACTCTAATTCAGTCAAAATAAAGCAGCAGCAACAGCCTGACGAATGTTGCACAGAGTACTTGGAACATAGTTTTGTCTTATCATTTGAAAGCCCTTCGAAGTACCCATAGCATTTGTAAAGCTTTAGCTGCAGCTCTATCACAATTTGCCGTTGTTTTCCTAAGTTCTTTTGTCCCTTAACATCTGGCGGTTCTGTGTCCTCCAGGGAATATGACGTGTAATACCTCCGACCTAGGTGCATTATCGCGCCCATTAAGCTTATTTATCTAGATCGTTTTGTAATACTAACATATTAGCATTAATATTTACAGTTTTCCATTTCTTGATATCGTCCGCAAATAATAAGGAACATGAAGTAAGAATTTTCCGCAGTTTATTTTTGTATAATAGCAATAGCAAGGGGCCAAGCGCAGTCCCCCGAAGTACTCCATTCAGTACTGCTTTCCACCCTAACATTGACCATCAGCCCTTACATGATACTGGAAATAAACACTGTAGACTTTTGTGTCCGCAATGCTCCTCAGAAACTGTTTTGCAGAGGAAGTCTAATCAGGTGAATATCTTGGAACTAACTGTTCTAGAAGAAAGTTCCAAGGTTTTCCCCTCGAAATGAGGCACTTCCGAATCGCCAACTCTAAAGGGAAAAGTTGCACAGAGTAACTTCACCATTTAACAAATGAAACATCAAAATGAATCAGTGGTAAGAATGTTTGTAACCCGGTCTGTATGCACGAAAGATGGCTTGAAATAATCGCAATAAACCTCTGAGATTAGTAGAAAAAGTTCAAAATCTAACCTTTACCTCACAAATATTATCCTCCATCCATTTCCTGTAATGCAAGTATAACCAATACGACAGCTGCTTGCCTTCATAATTTCTTCACTTCAGAATTGGACTTCAGTCAATTTGAAGCAAGATTAAGCAAGTGGGCTAATTTTTACTATCTTGGAATAAGATATTTCTTCGAAGAATTCACTTTTCATTTGACATCTTATCAGTGGAAGACAGCATTATTGCCACCAGGATAAACTTTGGAGCTGAATATCAATTAAACGATATCTTAATAAGGCGGTTATTTTTTGATTTTTGATTAGAGCTTGAAATTACACAGTATTTTGGTACAGGTATGGAATTTTCAGCATATGATCTCGGTAGCCCAAATTTTACAGGTCTACCATAGATAACAGGTGTGCATCGGCAGAAGATCGAACCCCGGACCACGTGCATGGTCGGAGAGAATCCTAACCACTGTGCTACTAACGCACTAATGCCTAATGCGTAAGTGCATCACCATGGTAGGACTTAGGGGTTCCACAGAATGCTCTTGGTGAGGGATGTTAAAAGTGAAGTTTTGAAGTGAGACAGAACTTGGAAGAGTGGTAAACGTTCTCACTAACTTGCCATTTTCAACGAAATAATGCGCAAGGGTACTGCCGAATTTCATGACTGCTTTGACAGCCAGTAGGCTGCCTCAGTCTTTGTAATATCTAACATAGTAATTTACGTCATCAGTTTTGCAGTCGTAACACATCTAAGTTGTGGTATTTTCCGTCCTCTGAAAAGCGCTACGGCATCCCGCCCAACAGAAATTCTATCAGGGCCTTAACCAACGCAGGACAAGCCTTTTAAATGTCATAGTTTCAGAACATTAGCGGAAAACTTTGTCTAGCTAGAATTTTAATTTTCTTAGTCGGCCAGGATATGGTAATTGTTCAAGCATCATATTAAATCATTTGCAGTGCGCTTATTCAACTCTTCTTTGTCCTTTTGGTTTGTGGCAAGTGCTCTAGTAAACTGTGATATAATACCAAGGTGGTGAGTTTCGTATGATGAGTATTTACAGGTTTCGACTTTGAGCGCTTTAGTGAGGGTTTCGTGATCCGTGTAGATTGTGAATGGAATGGTCTTTACCATATAGCGAAGGTGTTTAGCTGCTAGGTAGATTGCTTGCAGCTGTCTGTGAAAAGTAATAATAATAATAGTATATTCTCATTTTTCTTTACATGAGGGACGCCAGTTTACAGGCATCATCAATTCGATAAATTACACATACGATTAGTAAGTATAGTTAGTAAATATAATAAGGTACATATTTAATCATTCAAATATAGGACACACAAGTTGTATAGGAATGGATAAGAATTATTTAAGTTACATATTTAAATTACATGATTTACAGTTAAATAACACGGTTGTTGTCATTTTATCTTTAGTTTGTGGGGAAAATCGGATAACTGGTGATTCAATGGAAAACACCAACAAATATAGAGATATTGACTTCGCATTAACAAAAAAACCCAAGTATGCGTTGGATGGATTACATATACTTGGGAAAATAAATAAAGCTTGAAGTCAATTCCCTCATATAACAATAAAATGCATCTCACAATAATATATTCCCACTTTATGCACTTGAGGGACTCCAGTTGACAGGCATCATCGATATCATAATAATGCACACATGAAGTAAAAATGTTTAAAATTGTTCACTAACACAAAATATATATACAAGGGAAGATAATGAAATATTGACCGTAAGTACACTCTGCATAAGTTAAAACAGTTTATATGGCATAATCCTAGGCACAATAATTATTTGAATTTGTTGAACATTAGCGAAACAACTGAGTGTTGCGTTACATTCGGTCGATATGGTGGGCTAGTCACAAAAGTATAAAAATGACTTATAAAACGTTACTCAGTTTACCGTAAACGATGTTTTAAGCAATATAAACTGCAAAAGGCTCACCACAGCAGTTAGTATCCAGTTAAACATGCAGAGAAGTAATTGTAATTCAGCAACTGGTGAATTTTTTATTCTTTTCGGTCTGGAACCTGAGTAACTGCGAACCAATCCATACAAAAATGTCGAAAGAGGCATGCAGGAGCAGAGTTTTGCCATCGAATGAGTCATTGGGATCTGAGATGCAGCTATCAGCATGTTTTCGTCATTTCATAGATATCCAGATTTATTGACGCTGTATAGGTAGTGATTTGGATTTGTCATCATGATCGACATATGGACGAATATTCAAAATCGGAATACAACTCGTTTGCATTTCGGATTCAGTTAATTACATCGCGTGTTGGGTTTGATTACTCTGCGATTTTGATATATTCCGCGGTGTCGCCATGATTATGGGAAGTGTGCATATGCTTTAAATGCATTACTTTGTTGGCTACAATCTCCACTGAGTGTATACAACGGGAACTGTGGATTTATGTATTTGCTCATAACTGTGGATAAAATATCGCCGCATTCCTTTTGAAAAGGAGACCAGTTGGTGGATTATAAATAATGTCCAAGTAACTTATATCCTTCCATGTGATGTTGTGGTAAGTCTCGACCTTGTTTTCTCATATTTCATTCGTATGTTGATTATGGTTCAGGCTTTGTATCAGGTAGACATAATTCGATCGACTCTTATTTGTATGGGTGTTATTTTCATGACTGCTGCTTTTTTGTCTGAAATTATAGAACACCTCCTATCTGCTGGATTAAACCATTTAGAGAAGAATTCATCACTGCCAAGCTATTTTCCCACAGCCATTTCCGGTGAGTCTACCATTAATGAAGGAGGAGCATGCGGATCAAGATATTTCAGAGTTGTGGCTTTCGCTAACGCCGTTCTCAGATGTTCAGTCGCGTCGAGTGCCTCCTTCGACAAACGGAAGTCTTTTGGCTTTCCCCGATGCACCAGTCAGAAGCTGCGTGTATTGTGCTTGGTTAGACATAAGGCGTCGACAGAAACTGATCCACCCTAGAAAACTTCGGAAGTGTGTGGAGGGCCTGGCTAGAGAATACTGCCTGATGGTGTTTTATCTGTTTGTGAACTGGTGCGATCGTGGCACCACCGGTGACGTGTCCTGGAAATTCTGTTGTTTCTGCCTCCAAAATGCACTTACTCTGACTAATTGTTATACCATTGTCTTCTGGTTTGATTAATACTGCCCGAATATGATCTGCATGTGTGTTTATATCCAGGCTGGTGATGAACAGGTTGTCTGCGTACGATTTGGCAAGTGGTAGTTCACGCATAAAGTCATCCATAAATCTTTGAGAGATTCGCGAAGCATTCCAGCGGACTCATATAATCCAAATTGAGTGGTAATGGCTGTTTTAGGTTTATCTTCCTCAGCCACTGGAACACTGTGATAGGCGCTAACTGAGTCAATCCTA